AATTTATTATTATTATTATTATTTATTTGAATTATACAGTTTTAGAATCCAAATAAAATAAATTTATTGAATTTTGTCGGGTGGTTGTCAAAATATCTTCGCTCAAAGTTGTAGAAAAATCAAACCTTCTCAAAATCCTAAATTTTTAAAAAATTTGAGCGCAGTTATCTTAACAGCCACCTGACCAAATTCAATGAAATATGTAGAATTCAAATAAAAAAATTTTTATTGAATTTTGTTGGGTGGTTGTCGAGATATCTTCACCCAAAGTTACAGAGAAATTAAACCATTTTAAAATATACTAATACTGTAAGCTGTACCAAATTTTTTAAAAATTTTGAGCGAAGTTATCTTGACAGCCACCTGACCAAATTTAATAAATTTTTTTTTATTTAAATTCTACAGAATATGTAGAATTCAAATAAAAAATTTATTGAATTTTGTTGGGTGGTTGTCGAGATATCTTCGCCCAAAGTTGTAGAGAAATTAAACCGTTTTAAAATATACTATAAGCTGCGCCAAATTTTTTAAAAATTTTGAGCAAAGTTATCTTGATGGCCACCTGACCAAATTCAATGAATTTTTTTTTATTTGAATTCTACGGAATATGTAGAATTCAAATAAAAAAAAATTTATTGAATTTTGTTGGGTGGTTGTCGAGATATCTTCGCCCAAAGTTGTAGAGAAATTAAACTGTCTTAAAATATACTATAAGCTGCGCCAAATTTTTTAAAAATTTTGAGCGAAGTTATCTTGACAGCCACCTAACCAAATTCAATAAATTTTTTTTATTTGAATTCTACAGAATATGTAGAATTCAAATAAAAAAAATTTATTGAATTTTGTCAGGTGGTTGTCGAGATATCTTCGCCCAAAGTTGTAGAGAAATTAAACCGTTTTAAAATATAAGCTGTGCCAAATTCTTTGAAAAATATACCCAACCCTGGTCACGTGCCCATACGGACATGAATTTCCACGAAATTATAACTATGTAATCTTACGGACATAAATGTCCGCGAAATTATGAAAAAAAAAATCTATTTAAAAATTTTGAGTGAAGATATATCGATAATTACCTGATCAAATTTAATAAATTTTTTTTTATTTGAATTCTATGGAATATGTAGACTTCAAATAAAAAAAAATTTATTGAATTTTGTCAGGTGGTTGTTGGGATATCTTCGTCAAATAAAAATCTAAAAATGCAAGCTGTGCCAGAATTTCTATAAATAATAGATAATCTCAAATTTAAAATTTTTTTGATGTTAACCCTTTATTGTCAATTAATAATATTTAGAATATATATATATATACGTATAGTTCTTTTTTTCTTTTTTTATCTAGAAATTTAACTAAAATAATACACAAATAGTACCCACTAATATTTAATTAATGTAGCTAAAATGCAAGCTTTCCACTTGATGACCAAGTACCTTGTTGGTGGCGAGCTCGTAATGCTTCTTCACATTTACTTATTTCATTTAAAAATTGTGCTACTAAAGTATCATAATTATTTATAAAATTATAATTATTTATCTCTTGATTATATAAGGCTAATGCAACATCAAATTTTTTTTTATAAAATTCATATTTTTCTTTTCTTTTTCCTATTACATCAAAAGTTGTATCTTCAAGCAGATCTCGTAAGCTACTTAAACAAGAACTACCTTGCATAACAGAATCATTTGATGTTTCCACTACCTCTAATACTCCAAGTTGAATTCATGAATTATTTGCTGAAGCAATAGGTAGAATTTTTTCTTTACCAAAGAAGATCAACGGATAGTTATGTCGTCTTTTTGTTTCTAAAAATGTAGATAAAAATTGTTTTCCATTCTTTTTATTAACAAGATGTTTGCAAAGATGATAGCAGCTATGTAAATAAGCTGGGCAGGAACAAACCCACTTATTTGTATCGATCTCATATCTATCTTCTGCATCTGACAAAATATCTGCTTCTGCTACTTTATCCCATTCCTTTTTAAAATCATGCCACCAGGATAGAAAAGTTCGATTTTTGTCATGCTGAACTAGTTTAATTTCAGAATCTGGAATTAGCCGCTCTGTTATAATTTGAGTAAGCCGATCTATACGTAGACGATTGTAATTATACTTGTATTTATATTTGAGGACTCTCCAATGGCTTTCTGTAATCATTGTAGTACACGCAAAAGGCATGGCAAGTGAGTATGAAGATCGAGCAAATAATTTCTAATCTTTTTCATTATACCAGTTTATCCATAGATAACCCCATAGTTTAACTAGATTATTTGAATAACAAAACTGATATGTCTCTAGAACACATAATTCATAGATTTCCCTCGAATTTATGTAAGTTCCTTTAGCTAATGGAATAAGTGGATGCATATTAGCATGCTTTTTAACCATTTCTAAAATTTGTTTAACATATTTATCTGGACAGATAGACTCGACTCCACCCTGAACCCATGAAGGATCGATAAACTCAAATTTATAATGAGCTTCTAATACTTTAGTTGCTGAATATGTGCTTGATTTATACTTTTTATCTTTAATTTTTCTATCAATAGCATGCTCGAGATGCCAATAACAAGTTGAATATTAGGGATTAATGACCAAGCTTCTTCGACTGAAGCTATTTCACCTGCATCTTTGTCTGTTAAAACAAACACTGGTTGCAACCCCTCTTGCCGAAGGCTAGTAAAAAATATTCGCAATACTTCAACTTGTGTTTTTATAAGATTTCTTTGACTATTTCGAACTTCTTCGCTACTATCTAATGTGGAAAGATACATGTATGCTATTGGTATTCTGTATCCCTTACAGTTTAAATTTACAGCAAAGAGTTCAAATCGTTCTTGGTTTGTCTTAAATGTGGAGTCTATAACAATTTCAGTTGCATTTTCAGCTTCAATATGTCTAAGTAACGGAGTTAAAAACTTCAAAGCTCGAATGAAATCATTCTCTAGATAATTAAGAACTTTAAATCCTCTTTCTTTAAGTTCAGGCTGTTCAAGATACTGCATTGCAGATAAAAGCTGATTATCTTGATTCATTATATAGGTTTTTTTACTATACTCTGATACCCAATAATATACTTGCTCAGCCGTATGAATCTCTGGGTTTATAAGTTTATCATAACAAAGACGATTATAAACTTCTGTACTTCTTAAATTATATAGTAAGGCATTATTTTTAATCCATTCTTTTGCCTCTGCAGAAAACTCAACCTGGCGATAATTTGGTTTTTCATATGCTACTTGATGACTTCCCTGGATAGTAGCAAATTGTTCTTCTATATTAATAATTATTTTAATACTTCCTGCACACTCATATCTTTCAATAGGAGGATGGGCTTCACTTCATCTTTTGGGTGTTTGGTCATCTGGTCTTTTCCAGGCTCAATCATCTCGCATAGTACAACCAAGATATGCCATAGCCAAGCCAGAAAATTTTTTATTTTTGCTATTTAAATATATTTTTCTAATTTCCCAATAATACCCAGATCCAGATACAAGCGGAATAGAAAGCATAGATGCAAGTTGCCTAAATTTTATTTTAATTATTTTTAAATTGGTTGTATTTGTTAAACTTTGCTGATCTAAAGAGAATTCAATAAGAAGGTCTTGATCCAACTCAACTTCAAGGATGAATTTTACAGAATCGTTGAATATTTCAGTTTCTTCAAATTTCTTAGCAATGATTTCGTGAACTTCATCCAAATTATACATCATTACCTCTGAATTATTATCGCTTCGGACATCATACTCATTTTCATTATAGGTAATGTACCCAGAGTTATTAGAGGTAATATCATCAAAACTATCTGTAGTGATATTAGAAACATCAATGATAGTACCAGAGTCGTTAGAAATAATAGTACCAGAGTTGTTAAAAACATTAAGAGCGATAGTACCAGGGTCATTAGATATAGTAATGTTACCGTTATCAGAAGTAAAATTAAAATCATTTGGAACAATATTACCAAAGCTGGTAGAGGTATCTATACCAAGCTCATCAGAATTAATATTGCTGTCTAGGGCTTCCCGTTTGCTTTTTTTATTTTTTTGGTTGCTTTCCATTTCTCAGCACTTCTTTCATCACATCGGTTATATGTATCATTTTCTTCTTCTTAATTTTCATCAGAGGGACGAAAAAAGTTCTCAATACTCCTTTTAACATAGCAATGCTTACACATTTTTTTATTAAATTCTTGAGTACTTTCACTCATTGTTTATACTTAATCAAATGTTAATAAATTTAAATACAAGAGAAAATTATTTAACTATTTTGAATTTCAATAAAGTCGAAAAAACACACATTAAATACATTTTCAATAATCTATATTTATAATTTCGTCGTGATATATTTTTTTTTAACAAATTATTTATTTTATTGTAAATAACTATATATATATCTCTAATTATTTGACTTTGCTATTTTTTATTTTCAAATATGACTTTGAAATATTATAAGAGAAAGAATTCGGCCGAATAATAATGCTAACATAAATATGAATCGAAAAGATCCTTAATTCATAATATCCAAAATAAGTGAAGCTTTAATTTGATATATGCATAAATTTCGGTTATTACTATGCATGTGGCAAAGTTAATATAAATCTCTGCAATGT